CCACGAAATCTGCACATGGAGGTTCACACAGCACTGTACCTGCCACGCAATCTGCACAGCTGTACCTGCCACGAAATCTGCACATGGAGGTTCACAACGTGCTGCACCTGCCACGAAATCTGCACATGGAGGTTCACAAAGTGCTGCGCCTGCCACGTAAACTGGAGCTAGAGCTATTGAAACTAGAGCTAACTGGAGCTAGAGCTCTTGAAACTAAAGCTACCTGGAGCTAGAGCTCTTGCAACTAGAGCTAACTGGAGCTAGAGCTCTTGAAACTACAGCTAACTGGATGATGAGTGGTGTCTAATGAGTGGTGTATGATGAGTGGTGTATGATGAGTGGTGTCTAATGAGTGGTGTATGATGAGTGGTGTATGATGAGTGGTGTATGATGAGTGATGTATGATGAGTGGTGGTGTATGATGAGTGGTGTATGATGAGTGGTGTATGATGAGTGGTGCACGATGAGTGGTGTATTGATGAGTGGTGTATGATGAGTGGTGTATGATAAGTGGTGTATGATAAGTGGTGTATGATGAGTGGTGTTTGATGAGTGGTGTATGATGAGTGGTGTATTGATGAGTGGTGTATTGATGAGTGGTGTATTGATGAGTGGTGTATGATGAGTGGTGTATTGATGAGTGGTGTATTGATGAGTGGTGTATTGATGAGTGGTCTATGAACAGTTCTTGAATGTCCATAACACGGAAGTTTCGTACACTAAACTTCCTTTGATTATATGTATATATACTACTTTCCAACATGCTTTATACTGTATAATAACCCCAGGCATCCCCAGGCCTCATCAGGCTGCCGTTGCCCGCATCTTCGCTAGCAGAGTCATACACCGGAGGTACATCACCTACCAGGCAGCTTGCATCAAACTGAACTTGACCCTCAACCTGCTTCCCTCCCTGGCCTCCGTCCGCAAAAGCATCCAATGGTTCCAAAGACTTTTGTGTATTGCCTCCCAATCCTATGGACTTCTTTGAACTACGTGCGGTGTCCTTCCGGAAGGCATTGTTGTATCCACGGAACCACCAGCACCAGAACCGCTTTCGCATATCACTTCCATCAAAGCCTCTGCGAAGAATGAAGGAATCGGCCATGCAAAGACCCATGGATGCGTCATCGGTCCATTGCCCTCTTTGACACGCAAACTTGTTGAACTCCCCATGAAATTCCAAGGTTGATAGATCAAAGTGGGACGTGCCAGTGTCATCTGTCACCGTGATGTACTCAAAGGGATGTCCCAAAGCATCGCCTAAGTCCACAACATGCAAGGCATCTGGGGAAAGCGTCCAGTGGATTTCTGCAAGGCTCCGAAAGTACCGAAGAACGACGATGGCCGCTGGGCATGCACGCTTCTTTTGTATCAACATATGAGACAGAATGCGTATAGAGAGAGAGAGAGACCCCAAAAGAAACTCAAACTGTCTCTCTCTCCCAGCGAAATTGCATTCCCAAGTCACCCACAGCCATTCCGCACAACGCACCCATTGCTTTATCCAGGACTTCGACAGAAGCACATTCATGAACCAACGCCTCAGAATTCCCGACAACATGTCTCTAGCATTCCAAATGAGCCCCAGAAGAATCAAGGCACCTTCTTTTCGTCTGCAAGCACAGACTGCAAGATGGAATAGTCGTTCAAGTCATCCTTCAGCGTGACAAGTGCCCTGATCCGAATTCAGGCAAAGTAAGGGCTGACAAACACCACATCATCTCCTCAGCAGCTGTTGGGCTTATCCGGATTAGGTCAGAATCTAAGGACAAATTCAGTTCTTCTTCCAGACCTCAATGGCAAAAGCATTTGCAACAACAGTAAGTGTTGAAGACAGTCAGGTGCTTTGCTGGGGTCCTTGCGTCCAACTCTGATTGACCACGCATGGCAGCTGTCTATCGCCATAAACGTCTTTTTATTCCTAGTGTTGTCCCCTTCGCACAATGCAACTCGTGGCTGGCTCAAGAAGTTGGTTCTATCCAGTGGTCAAATTTGGAGGTGCCCCTGGTCAAATCCATTTTTAACTTTGCTGATTGGCCCCAGCTGCCCCAGCTACACTTCAGCCCAGAAGGCTGCAAAAAATGGGTCCTGAACAAAGAATCATGTGAAAGCTAGAAATCCCACTGCCAAAGCTTGTCTCTCTTTTCTTCCTGAGAAGCTCCAGGCTCTGGGGCGCGCTTTGCAAACATGTCGGAAGGTGCTGTTTTGCTCCCTAACAGTGACAAGCCCTCGCGTCTTCATATTCCATCTGAACCACGGCTTCCATGCCGTTGGGGTATAGTGAGATCCCAGGCTGAGCTTACGGCTGGACATGTTGCAATCTGCATGTTTGGTGACGTCTGCACTTCGCTGCACTTCCTCGGTTTTCCCACAGCATAGTGGAGCAGCGCCACGTGACGACCCCCAAATATGAGGACATCCGCCTCATGTGATGGCGACGGAGTTTTGCTTCACCGGCATGCTGATGATGCCAGCAAGGCATCAAGTATCATCTCAGAAAGCACTGCCACGACAGCAAGAGGTGAAACATGTGGTCAAATGTCAATGTCACATGTCCGCTCACTTCATCATGTATATCTGTGACTCACCTCATTGTACATCTTGACACCCCGTCTCACCTTGTTTGGATAGGCGTGCAGCGTCCATTTGTCCTGGCACCGTCACTGTCAGGGATAGTTCATGTGGCAACCCCACTGGAACTCCAGCTCCATCTGAATGTGGCATCACGTAAACACCTCAAATTTGCTCTATGTGTTTCTGCATCATCTTCTGCAGCCTCCATCTGCCCTTTGAGTTGCATAAACGGTACAAAGACTTCGACTTCGACGTTGTACCACCCATGTCCTTGTTCTGGCTCTGGAGGTGCCCTAATCTGGTAGGCCGTGGCCTTCTCTAATGACGAGTCTTGGATTGTTGTACCACATCCACCGTCGAGCAACCAAGCGCAATTTCTCGCTTCTCGCCATCTTCTGATATTTATATAAAACGTATACAACAGTCGACGCTCTTCTTGTACTCCTTGGCTCCAGCTCAGCTCAGCAGAAACTTAGCCCAACCCAAGTGCACAAACCCAAGCCCTTTCACAAGGTAGCTTTCACGGTAATCCTTTAATGTAGGCAGAAGGACGAATTGTCCTTCCTTAGCCTTACCTCTCTCTCCCATGGGTTTTAACCAAGATGCACATGGACATGCTGGCTCTGCCTCAGTAAGTTGTTACACCACCAGCTCATGGCCATAAAACATTGAACATCACCAGTTCAGAATGAGGGATGACTGTTGTCTCAGGCAGCCTCAAGGTCATGTCGGGCGTTTGGGGCCAGCTTTCAAGTCAATCTTCAGTCTACAATACTGTGAAGGGCCATGAATGCCAAACCTCTGGGTGTGGCGGCGATTGATTGGACTCCGCCAAGCCCAAGAAACTTGGAAATGTTCTAAGAGTGGGAGACGGCAAATCTTCCCATGTCACTGGTGGACGAGTGAGCAAATCAGTTCGGTTGATTTTTCAGGTCCACACTTTGGGAAGCATCTATGCTCGGCGGGGAGAATAGCACCATTTTCGTCCGCTTTCGAGCAACTGCTCTCTGCAGTTTCTGGATTAGAAGCCTGCGGGAGGAACGTTCTGGGCAAGCCGCACAGAAGCTTCGTATGGTGGTTCTTCTTAGACAATCGCAAACAAATGATCAATGGCTGGTAGTGGCTCTTTGGTCGTGGGCACTTCAATGGCTTCGATGGCTATGGTCATGGCTTCACATATTGTGCACTTGGTTAGTAGTTCACGTGTTTCATCATTTTTCTGACTGTCAAAAAACGATTCCAATAGTTGGTGAACAACAGTTGCTTATCCTACGAATCCTTGCAATTGATATTGCAGGTCTTCCACGGGTGACAATACCATGATCAAGGCATATCAAGGCTGCCCTTTGTGTCTTCCAGCAGCGCATAAGCTCCACCCTCACACAGCCATACTCGATTGATATGAAGCTGCAACTGCATCCCCCTGGCACGATCCAAAACACCAATACCATAGGCTAGATCATTTTTGTGATACGAGTGAAAGCCTCGACAACTTTGTTGTGAGTAAGAGAAATGACCAAGTGGTGGTCTTTGTCACATCTGTTGGTTTTGCTTTTGAGGTTCTTGCTCGACATGTCTTTTTGTTCTACATGCCACAAAAAATACAAAATGAGTAAAGTACTCCAACACATTGCCAACAATGTGCATCAAAGGCTTCATATCTCCCAACTTGGGCATGATTCGGCCATGGTCATGTTGCACTTCTTCCTTCATGTTCTATACCTGACCCTTGCCACTCCGGCACATGTTCGGTTGAGACCCCCCAACGCCTTGCGCCGGTCCAAAATTTCCATAATCCGTGCGGCTGTTTCCACCACACCAGCGTTGCTAGTGTCCTATAGCCACCAAGAATGAACATGCAGACAAGATCGAAACGATCAAAGTGAATCAGGTGAACCCCAAGCGCACAACAGATTGCACCAACGCAGGGAATCAAATCAATCAAATCAACTAAGGGTGCTGCTATGATTGGCCACTTTGGGCCCTTTCGCCTGGGAGCCAGCTGGAAGGGGGTAGCGGTGGCGAATGAATGGTTCGCACAAATTTGGATGGAAGTTCCGGTGATTAAACAAGTCCCTTTTTTCTTGCCCGGGCAAGGAGACAAAGACGACATATGACGACATATGACGACATATGACGACCACATTCGAGTTTGGACAGTTTTGGCGCACCGATCGGCTTGCTGCCTTCTCTAACCAGCTGAGCATTACTCAAAGTGAGGCTCGGAGCACCTATGAGAAACTGCGGCCTGCCCTAAGTCAAAGCCGCACTTGAAAAGAAACTCGTAGGCGCAAGTTCAACCACCGAAAGTGCGAATTCTTTCTGGCATGGCCATGTTGGCCCTTTGAAGCAAGCATGGACCAAAGTTTGAAAGCACAGGTTTCACCAGGCGAAATCCCTTCGTTGACAACGCAGAAGAGATTTCCCCTGGCAAAACCGAAACCTGTGCTTTCTAACTTTGGACCAAGTCAATGGCAACGTTGCTTCGTGTCCCTGGTCAGCCGCGAGGGGAGCTCATCAGGGCGGCCAGCTTCTCTCAGGTGTAGGCGGGGTCAATGGTCTGCGGGATAGGTTGGATCTCGGTGCCCAACTATCGTACGTCACAAAATTGATGCCCAAGCCCAAGTGACCGAATCGGCCCAAGCCCCCCCCCAGGCGATGCAAGTAGGTCTCCGAGTTCTTGGGACAAATCAGTTGATCACAACATTGACAGACTGGATGTCAATGCCACGTGTAAACAGGTCCGAGGACACCAAACACCGGCACGCCCCATTCCTGAAGTTATGAAACACTCGGTTCCTGTGAGACTGGTACATGCGCGGGTGAATGAAGAAGCAGAGTATCCAAGTTCTGTAATCTTCTTGGCCAGCAACTCCACGCGCGTCACAGAGTTGCAAAATAGGATTGAATTGCCCGCTGTTCTCACAGTTGCAGATCAAGCGGGGCCCGCTTGATCTGCAAGTTTGAGAACAGAGTGTTGAGACAATGAACCTTTTGGCGCTCTTCCACAAGAGCGTAGTAGTGAGAGACACCTGTTGGTGTTAGCTCTTCCATCAAATTTATCTCATGGGCGTGTGCCATGGAGCGATTCTTGAAATCCAAAATCGTCATGAGGATGTTGCAGAATACATCAGGATTTGCCTTTCTGGCGGCAAGAACTTCACAAGGTGTTCAAACTCGGAGGACAAAAGCTTGCTGCAAAACGACTAAACAAGCAGCAAAACTGAGAGCAAAACGGAACCTAAGAGCAACGGCCTCCAGCCTACTAGCGATGGCCTCCAGCCTAATAGCAATGGCCTCCAACCTACTAGCGATGGCCTCCAACCTAACAGCGATGGCCTCCAGCCTGCTAGCGATGGCCTCCAACCTAACAGCGATGGCCTCCAGCCTGCTAGCGATGGCCTCCGACCTAATAGCGAACAAAATCCCATATATAACTTTTCTCTGCACTGGTTTTCGTACCGCTCGCTCCAGCATTCAAGAATCCGGCACGAAAAGGCCAAAACCACGAAAACAAAAACCGCAAAAAAAGAATGAAGGCGAAAGCCGACAAAACCGGCGAAACGCAAAAGCCGCAAAAACCGACAACAATCGTAGCGTGGGATCGGATATCAACGAAAAAAGTCGGAGGAGGCCAGCTTCCGAACGGGCTTTTGCCAGGAAACTATGCCGCGGCACATGTCACAAACGAGGGGTCCCGCAACATCAGAAGAAACAGTCCAACGCGAATCAGGTCCAGCGATTATTCCAACGGTTGCAAAACGAAAATCTCTCAAAGGATAGAATCAAGCTCATCTACAATGGTTGTGACCGGATCACAACCTGTGAACCGAGAGGGAAGTCATTCTTAGAACTGGCAGTTTATAGCCTTTGTAGTATATGACGTCACTTCAATACCAACCCATGTGGCAAAAATCAAGTACCGAACTGGTGAACGAAAGACTCAGGCTGGGTCTGCCAGGGAAATTTACTTAAGGTCCTCTCTTAGTACCACGCATCTAAGTAGGCGTTTTTGGTGTGATTCTATGTGCAAACACTTAGTACCTGCGTCGGTTTCCCTGTGAAAAAGTTCTCTATATTTCCATATTTGTTCCCTCACTACACGCACCATTCGTTCCAAGCTGCCTGAGTTCCCCTCTGCACAATTTTACTTGTCATTGTCATGTGACTAATAATAAATTTAGCTGCACCAAAGCAAAAATAAAATCTGGGTCTTGCACAGAGCCAACTGTGAAAACGGTCAAAAACAAAAAACACAGGCGAAACACTCGAATGTGCGAAAATCCACGACTGCCGCAAAAACCACGAAAGCCACGAAAAAGCAAGTCCCACGAAAACCTGCGAAAACGCAAAAAAACACGAAAACCGACCGGCAAAACCCAAATACAGCGAAAACAGTATTCAAGGAGGGCTCGGTTTAATGGGGTTTCACACGGTTTCACGCTTTTTCCATCTCCTCGGTTTCTCAGTGTTTGCATTCTGTCGGGCGAATCCAGTTTGCTCGATGTTGGTAGAAACGATTGCTGGGCAACTCTCTTTGCTGATATGTCTGGATAGGACGCCGAGATAGGACGCCGCTTTGTGACATGAAATTGCCAAGCGAGTGGCAAGTAAAAGTTTTTGATCCAGCTCACCTCTTTCTTGATGTTGGTCCTTGGTCAACTTGCATTCTTGTTGACATGAACTGAGTCAGCTCCCTTGGTTGTACAACAAGAATTGTGATGGCTCTGAAGCTCCTCAGCGTGTCCAGACTCCTAGCTCAAACCACATCAATGTTATTGTACATCTGCTTGGGCGCACATCACGCCATGTATGGGCCGCTAGTCCCCATGTCACAACTCCAAGGAACAAATTGGCATACTTCGTGTTGGAGCGATTGAACTGCTTCATTCGCTGGGTGCCTCAGGCTACAAACACAGTCCAGTGGCTGAAGACATGGATTTGGGCGAGGCAAAGGGCAAGGTGCAGATGCTATTAGCCGTGCTCCAGTATATATATATAGTATAAACCAAAGATTCCAAGGGTTCGCATGATGACACTATTATGTAGTAGTGTCACAGTTGAGGTATGATCATCCCCCACATTCAGCAACGTGATTGGCTATCAAAAACCTGACCTGAAACCCAGACAAGGGGAAGGTCCAAGGCACGAATCTCTTGTAATCGTTCAGGCTTGATTTGCAGTGCGAAACATTTTTGTTGATCGAGTTCGAAAAGCTCCTGGATCACACAAATCACAAAACCCGACCTTTCTGGATACTAGGAGCATCTAGAAGCATTCTTACTACTAGTAACAAGAAATCGTTACTAGGAGCAAGGACACTCTAGGGACTCCTGGCCTTACTAATAGGAACAAGAAGCTACTTACTAGGCATTTTGTTCCAATGGGCAGTCGGTCAGTTTCTATCGCACAAAGCTGGATCGGTCCTTTGGAGGCTCCTCCTCTGGCACCAACGGGTAGTTGGCCACCTAAAAGTAGAATACAAGTCTAATTTAGTTTATATAATTGATTGCTTCTACTAGCTTCTTGTTACTACTAGTAAGGCACTTGTTACTAGAAGCGATGCACTTGTTACTAGTAGTATGATCAAACTACTTGTTACGGGCACCCGTCTGGGGTCCCAACACACTTTAAATTCGGAATTTTCCAACTCCCCCACTGTTTGCACTGGCGAAGACAACCCAACTTCACGCTGCACTCTCATCATAGACACCATCCACGTTCCAGCCTTATAGCCTCTCTGTGCCAAGTAGAATGACAAGGGAGTCTTTCCAGCTCGCGATGGTCCAATCAGCATGATGTCGCACTCATCCCAAAGATGAGGCAAAACCTGCAATGCTCTGTTCGGACCTCTTTCGTTGTGAGCATCAGGACGCCTTAGAATCCCTTTATGTGTTGATCAGTTGGACAAGTCAACCCACAACAGCCTGTTGACAACTGCAACCCAAGCTGACAGAACCCTGTGCCAAGCAACACCATCATCCACTTTTCGAGTGTACTCAATCGCCTTGACCTGGGCCAAGAGAGCGCTTGGAAATGACATGAAACGACTGTACATGGCCAACATGCATGCTACTCGTGAATGGTTCCATGCTAACTCTGTACTGTCAGTGTTGATTCAATCTGCGTCCCAAGTCGAGGAGGAAGACGCAAGCCTTCCTGTTTGCTGGCTCCATATCACTAGAACTTGCCAACTTGGGCCAACTGGAGAATCTTCCCAAACTCAAGAATCATTCCCAAAACCACTCCTCAAACCAGGCCGGAGCCACAATGGTCATGTAGTCATCGCTGACGGCTTGTCGTCGACCCGCTTTTCCACTCCGCTTGGCGCCGAATCTTTTTTCGAAGGTGGCCAGCAAAGGGCCCCAAAGGTCAATGCCTGGTGGAGAGCTGGCCACTCTTTTGTTTTTGGCCCGCTCGGCCCTGCCTCCTTAGTTAATTAAGTAGGCACCTACTTAATTAATTACTGCAAGTGAGAAGTTCGCTCCTACCTACTGGATGCTACTACATATGGACGCAGGATAGCTCATGCTTCTTCAAGCAAGCTCCCCTTGCCTGAGGGCGGGGGTAGCTTCCTTGAAGAAGCGCTCGCACTATTCATTTGGTTCCTATGTTCTTAGGGAAACTTGAGCAAGACACTGGACCTGGTGAACTCGAGGCCTCACATAGTTGGTATTGGATGTTGTAAACTCCGAAAGGCATTTGCAGTAGGTAGGATGCATGTAGGATGCTATAGGCTATGGGCTTTGACCCATGCCGGGTCAGGAACCAAAATGACACAAAGCAAACCCCGAGCAAAGTCGGTATGCACATGAGAAGCATAGCTGCGCCAAGGGGTGCAGTGCTTCGTGTTGATCCATGTGGCTTTTGGAACTCCAACCAATGGGGCTACTCTTGGGCTCTGTCCACAGCCACGGCACATTCAAGCTCTTTGGCTTTGCACTCATCAACAACGACTTGATGCAGCTTTGGATCCATGATCGTGTAAACCTGAGGCAAATTGTTCGAGGGGCTTCGCTAAAAACCCTGCAAATCACCGGATGACACTCATGCATGGTTGGGAAGCAGTGAAAACCCTGAAAGCGGTGGAAAGCAATATGAAGCAATCAAAACTGAGGGCCTCACCAGCAAGGCATTGCACTTCTTGGCTGCTTCAACGATGGTCTTGATCTCTGTGGCAGATCTCACAAATCTGTAGACTGTTGCCCGGCTTGTTGCACATGTCGACCCTGAACAGTACTCAAACTGCGCGGCAGCAGTTTTCACCGAAGCTTTTGCGGATTCACCGGTGCTGTCAGAGAGAACAAAGATGTTCACCAGCTGGCTCGCAGCACAGGTATCACCATCACCTCAAGCTCTTGCGAAATGACACTGTCAAACACCTTTGCTTTATTCAACAAGTTGGGAACCCTTTCATTCATTTCTTTACTGGACCCCACCTTCATCATCCTCATCAGAATCTTCATCGTCTTCCGTTTCAGCCGATTGAGAAAGGATGATCGAATCAAATGTGGCTCGATTCAAGCGCAAGAGTCGGCAGGAAGTCTGTGCAATGGCTGAGCATTTGTGGGGCGTATTTCCCAACAAACACTCAGCCCCGATGTAACTTCCCTGGCTTACCCGGCGCCGTTCTGGCTCCACACGTCCTGCCCTGGGAACGTCCAGCAGAACATCTCCCTGGCAGAGTGGCCGCGTTGAGTGCAGGACATGCAACACTTGGAAGCCTAGTGTTCAAGTTGAGGTTCGTCGAAGTGGCCGCCCACTCCAAGAATAATGTTGGCATTCACGCCGGTGGCATCACTCAGACTCAGAAATTTGCTCAATGCCACCAATGTGTTGAGGACAAATTTTAATTTAACATTTGTAGAGAGCAATGCTGGCCGCTTGGGTAATGAAACTTGGGTACCCAAAATGGGATCGCTCTCAATATGGCCAGCATTTGCGGAACCATTGGTCAAAAATTGACCCGTAGGCCGTAGTCACAGGCAACAAAAAACATGTTCAAAAGCCACCCCGCCTTGGCAATGACGTACATGTTGTCATCAGGTTGGCCCTGCTCAGCCAGCACCTGAGCAGTTTCCCAAACCCATATTGCACAGGTTGCATGGGCCCGTTGAAATTTGAAAGGAATTGCAAAAGTTTACAATCAAAATAAACCCTATACACACATTGAAGGAGACAAAGGCATGGCAAACAACGACCAGGAGTTTTGGCAAGTGCTTGCCTCTCCTTTTGCAAGTGTGAGTGGAAGCATCGTCTCAGCCAGCTGAAGGATGACATCAGTGTTACTCCTTCCCAGCACGACCAGCTCCTTCACCTCTGGCAGCACCTGCTGAGGGCTTTGGACAATAGAGAAGCACCGAAAAGCAAACGCGATTCCAAAAATTTGAGGCTTGCAAATTTAGTCAATATTTGGAATGTGGGTTGCAAAAAAACGATTTCGGTGCGACGGTCCTTTGTGTCTAAAATTGCAGTGTGCAAACTGAAGCCCTTGCTTACGAAGTTCTCACATGAGAAATGCCGCGCGACCGTCACACTCGGATGCTCAATGTGAACGCACACCTGTCTAAGCAATGAGATGTCCTCATCCGTCAACGCTCCAACATCTGCCTTAACCAAATGCATGACACATATGAATGAAACAACTGCCACAATGCAAAACAGGTGGCAAGCAAGGACCTTAGGACCATCACAAGAACTTGTCACACCCAACTCCCTTTTTGGTTCGTGCCTCTTCGGCCTGTGCATGACACTGCACATGCCATGTTCTGTGCCTGGCCGTAGCGCCTGGGAGCACCGACTGTGGGGCACGTCGCTGTGATAGGAAGCATCCTATGACTGCAACAAGGAACAAGAAGCTATTAGGAACAAGTGCATCGCTACTAGTAACAAGTGCCTTACTAGTAGTAACAAGAACTACTAGGAGCAAGGACGCTACTAGGGCTCCTGGCCTTACTACTAGGAACAATGTTTGCTATTAGGAACAAAGGGCATCGCTACTAGAAATGCATACCACAGCCCCAATGAACCAACCCTGCTGACCTCTTGACGCCAGGCATGCCAAGGCAATTGGCCCGGCACTCTTCAGGAATTTGTCAGCCTAGCAACTGTCCAGAGATGTTGCCATTTCCGCAAATAATGCCACCAAAATTAAAGTACATATAACCAACTCTAACTTCACGGGTGTCCTATCCCTAAGTGTGAGACATGGCAACAAATGGGAAACTGTTCCAAACAAAAAACAGCTCCTACGACATGGCCCAAGAGACGCACTCCAGGCCTCAAAGTCATTCACAGGCCGCCCAGGAAGGCCACTCCCAGCAAAATCGTTGCCACGAGCACCCACAGCAAGTGGCAGCGCGCATGGTTTCAGCGACTTGCTCAACATATGTTAGCTGATTGACGACCTTTTCAACAATCTGCGCGCTGGTTCTTCAGTCCCCTCAAAAAATACAGCACAAGAATCATGTTCAATCCATCTTGGCAAGGTGTATTTTAATGCTTGGTCAAAAATCTGGTGGCCTGCAACATTGATTCTGCGTGACCCCCGGCTTTCTCCAGCATCCGAGCTCAAATGGTTCAGGCATGAACTATATACTAACCCTTGGTTGCCGACAGGAAATGCCGATCTTGCAAACCGGCCAGTCTGAATGCAACCTGGTGGCTCGCCGGCCTGACGTCGTCAATGGACACACAAAAACAATTCACAAGGCCAACAACACGTTTTAAGAAAATGTCAGCCTTGTTAATACACATTCTGCCATTGCTGCACCTAGATAGTATATATTGCCGCTCCATGTAGCAAACCCCAAGTGGCGTCGCACTGCATCCTGGCAAATACCGATCGGCGATTATTGGTGAGGCTAGTTCAACGAACTAGAAAGACTAAATGGGACTCATCGTTCGTGGAAAGCGTGTTTGTTGCAAAGACTGGAACTGATTGATTGTCAATCTGACCCTTGCAATGCGGAAATCACATATTGTTTGGCGGCGGTCACTTGCAAATACATATTGACATATTGGCCACACCGGTCCTTTTCAACAGGGATTGGCTCTAGTGGACCACCCACACATCGACAGGCATGCTCCAAGGAAGCAAGCCTTCTGCTCGCTCGCCGCATCGACTGTGTTGTTAGCAAAGGTCATCCAACCTGGGGGAACTAAAGGCAAAAAAAGAAACAGCCCTTGTTTCCGCCCTGTTACCCTTTTTGTCCACTGCCTTGTTCGATATTGAGCTCAGAGTATAGAATGTTTCAACTATATATATATATATAAATACACCTCCTCGCTCACGTGCATGGCATATCGTTGACATACAAAACCCCCATGCAAACACAGCAACAAAGCCGGGCGTGCTGCAGCACCAGGCAGTTCACAAGATCTCTGACTCGGCAACCACATGGCTACAAACTCAGAATCCTCGTGGCCAAATGTCGGTCAAACCAAAGGTTATCCTGCTGGTTTGGTCTAATTTACTGTAAGCTGACACTGTTGCGTGGGCCGAACCAATTGAAACACTACAACGATTCCTGTTGGCAGCCACTTGGCTGGATGCACCTTGTTGAGCCAACATACCGTGTCATTGGATATTGCCGTGTGGTGTCACGATCGCATTGGTTCACATTCCCTTCGTTTCCACGTTTTTCTGTTGTTTGCCTTTGTGGCACTGCCCCAAGTTCCAGCAAAATTTCATGGGGTTTCCTCCAATATCATTGCAAGTGGATCTTCCGTCGACAAGCGGCCAATCACTATTGAGGTGTCCTCGCACTGAAATGAGCTGTTTGCCCGTCCGGAAACTTTGGGGACGTAGTTTTAATGAGCAAAGTGGATTATTCTGCCGCTTCCGTGCTGCCACGCAAAAAGGGGGCGCGCAATGTGTTTTGTCACGTTTGAGTCTGAGGCCTCATAACATGAATTGATTACACCCATAGACCCCGGATACAGTTACGGCGTACACGGGCAAAGTTTACATCATAATGCAGCCAGTACGTACTAAAAACGAGCGCCTGAGGCGGTCAAGTACAACTGAACAGTTATCCTTTAAAAATTAACGTAAGCAAGCACGACAAATTGAGTTTTATCTTCACACGTGTTCACTTTACTTGACCTGTCTTCACATGGCGTTTTCATGTTTTCTCTTTTGTTGGGTAAACGTTCTCATAAGTGCAGAGGTGGCACCAGGAAACAAATCCAGAAAAACAAAACACACGGAAGACGAGCGAAGCAAACGACATTAAGGCGAAGGTGCGCAAAGCAGCCCAGTGCCGGACCCATGTGGCAGCAAGTTGGGGCTGGGCCGGCGGGGGGGGCGCGCGCGCGCGTCGGACCCAAGAGGCCTCCCCAACGGACCCGCGACAACGACACCAACCCACGGATTTGAAGTCTCATTAATGCTTTAAACTTGTATAGGTGTGCAAGAGGTTATGCATTCACAGCTGCACGAAGCTACAACACATCGGCCTTGGTAAAACGACACCTTACCATGCAGATGATGCAAATGAATAAAAGTGCATTTCTGACATCACCAGCCGCTCAAAAATCACAAAAATTCGCCTCCAACACAACCTCCAAAACCTTGCTTCCGTGCACCCCTAAACACCACCCAATTTCGAGTTTACGAAGTGCTTTCTCGGACTACCACCCCCCCGACCCCGAATTTTTTCACTTCGCCAAACACAACTCAGCTGGCGCCTTCTACGAAGGCTGGCTTTCGTAATCTTTTGCCCGGGTCGCGCACGCGCGCCTCCTGCGCTGGCGGGAAGTACGGTTTGCGTGCGCGGACCCGCCACACATCCCCGCGAAAAGGGCCTCTGGCCCGAGGCATCCGCGACAGGGGGTCATCCAACTTGGCTATACAAATCAATAATCAATTGCAGAAACAATCCACCGAGGCCACCATGGAGAGAGCTGCCCCAGCTACGACTGTGCAGACAGTGACACTTGCTGGAGGCCGGGTGAAGTAAAATAGTTGCCCTTCGTGCCTCAATAACCCATCTGCTTTGACAGAGGACCAGCGACCCACAGAAAAACCACTTGTGGATCGTTGCCTACCATTGTCTGTCAAGGTCTTGACGAAATACACAAGAGCCACTTCACTGGAGCATCTTGTAGCACGCCACATGGATCAAGGAAGCCTCTGTCGTCGGACCAGCATAGCCTCATGGAACCGAAGCGCTCCCACCAGTGCTCCATGAAAACTTAGTTCAAAGCCCGATGTAAACTGAAGAAAAATCAAATGACAAAGAAAAACACCATTATCAGATCATTTGTTCGAAAATGACAATTATACCGTAACCAGCATAGGCCCCAAACAGTTTCAAAACGATTCGTTTAGACCAATATGAATCAAAAATCGATTTCTTGGTACGCCCTACCCTCACCCCAAGAGCAAACTGCTTCATCAATCGGCATTGACATCGCTATTTTTTCGGCCACACTCCCAGCCACAGAGTTCAGGGGCGCGGCCAAGACAAGGACAACAGGAGGACAAGACCCGGACACAGAGCCGGGCCACAGAGTTCAGGGGCGCGGCCAAGACAAGGACAAGAGGAGGACAAGAAGAGGACAAGAGGAAGCCAAGGCCCAGCCACAGAGCCCAGCCACAAACTTCAGGGAGGACAAGAGGAGGACAAGGCCTGGACACAGAGCCCAGCCACAGAGGGGCCTGGACACAGAGCCCAGCCACAGAGTTCAGGGGCGCGGCCAGTGAGTGAGTGTGGCCAGCTCTGTTTTCTAAGATAGCACCCCAACAGTAAACTGCTTGGGGAAAAGAAATGGCGTGAGAGGATGTATGGCTGTGGTCGGGGCTCCCCACAAAGCCACTGGTGCCATCTCTGGACACCTGGCGGCACATTGACGACCTGGCGGCACATTAACGAAGGTAGAATCATAGAAACATAAGCTACAAAGAAGCTTGTGTTACGGAGGTTTCTATATACTGGGTTGGTTATCTGGCAAGGGCCGATCAAGTCTCAACCGATGCTCAAGTAATGGGCCATGACTGGTCGTGGACGAGGAAGCACAACAGCAAGACGGAAGAATTGCCTGCAAAAAGATGCCTCGGATCATCTCGGATCAGATGTTCCCGGAAAAGGAAAAAAGAAATTGACACACGCGTGATGTCCAACATCGGCCACTGATTCGCTTGGACTCTGTTTTGAGCGTCAACCGCAGTCTGGACAAACTTTTGAAGATGCCGATGATGCCGCTGAAGAATGTCGTCATTGCTCCCTCTCACTACTTCTTCCGCGGATGGAGCCAGGGCTTGGATCGGAGGATCGTGATGACCTCCTCCTCCACCGTCCCCTCCAAGCTATACTGAAGGCATGTCTCGTGCAAAGTGGCCAACCAGGTCGACATGGCTCCGGTCTCAAAAGGATTGGTGAAGCGATGGTAGGTGGCGCCTGGCGTGCCTTTCTCGACAACTTCGCGCTTGGGGCTCAGATAGGCACTTTTCCAGGTATCCAAGGCCGTCTTCCATGACCAAGTTTGGCCGGAGAGCAAGAGCTGATACATCCCAGTGGGAGGGCGCACGACGATCAAGTAGGTGCGGCGGTAATCCACCAAAGCAGCATTGCTCCAATGGAGATCTGGGTATGGGCCAGTCGTCGCAGTGATGCGCAACTGGGACTCATGCAGCCACTCCGCGGGGTCCTGGGCAGTGCGGTTGTGCACCAAAGCCTGCGCAGCAGTGGTGGCTTCACCCAAGTGCTCCAACAAGTAAGTATCGATCAAACTCAGGCACGGCGCAGATCAGCCATGCTGGGTAGTCCAAAGTTATTTCAAAACTTGGCCTCTAAACCTGTTGGCCTCAAGGAACCCACTCAGTCTAAATCAATGTAGCAGATATTTTTTTACATACTGGGAGCCCCTTTGGAACCCAAAGTCCTGCCACCCCTGCCCAAGCGCTTTGACCATTTCACACAGCAGGATAGTTATATGTTATAGGACATTAAACAGCGTATAACTTATAATTATAGCCTGCTATATACCACATCACCTGGAAGGCGGTAAGCAAAGGTCCGGTGAGTTCCACGTGCTTGGGTGAAGCAGGCAATACATGTAAGATCTTATTTGACTTAACTGCCCTTTGGGGTGGTGATGATTGAACGTACCAGACTCTGACAAAGTGAATGTTCAATTGGAGCTGTCCTGTCCTATTGCTCATGACGCAATACTTCTAGAACCTGACCAGTGGTCAAAGATCACATATTTTCCACTCATACTTGAGGCCGAGGGTAGGTGACGAAAGCTAGCAGGGGTGCATCCGGACTGGTGGGACATCAAGCGGAGTGAGGCAAATGCTCATGAGGTAAAACGTTGTGAACATGTAAGACACACAAACAGCAATGACACAGCCAACCTTAGAATTGAAGTCCCCGATAATTAAGGAAGCGTGGCTGGACTTTGCCACACTGTTCGATGCATCCGATGTGTTCACGAACCTGTGAGCTTGTTGAATCTGTTGCACTGTATCCCAAAACCTCCACGGAGGAGTTGAACCAGCGCGGATGCCATAAGAGGTGCCCAAGAGGTGTCCCAGAGGCAAAACAAAGCTGCTTGCATGATTTTTCCCGAAAGCATTGCGAAGGGTTCTTCCGGAAAATCCTTTGAACACTGACACTTCGACACTTACACTCAGACACACCTAGACATTGACACTTTCACCACACTGGCAGGA